TATATACAAGCATGATAACAAGAAACTTTTACTTATATTTTTATATTGAATTGTTGGGATATACAGAAAAAATTCACATTAAAATTGCTCACTCTGGAAACAGAGTATCACTTAATTTCATCAGGGTGTCTGTACATTCGCTACTGCCTGCAGCATACATCTTCTCTAACTTCACAAACAAAAGTCAAAGGAAGATCCCTGAAGAACAGCTAAATACCCAGGAACTGAGTGCTAACACCGGCATAAGTGAATGGGCCAGAGTCCATCTCCATAACTTCTAAGTTCTTTCAGTACGGTATAGAAGGCAGAGAATGTGCTTTCTTGCAACATACACCACTAAGATCTTCATCGTATTTAGGATAACTGCATTTGGAAAGGTTTGCTTAGAACCACGTAGATAAGTAGAAGGAGTATATTATTTTATTTTGTGTTAGATTTCTAAATTGTTTACCATAAGCTAAGAACACTGGCAACTGCAAATAGCATTACATTAACTTGACAAAACAATCTCCCTGATGAAAAATCAATTCTAGGAAAATTATAGAGCAACAATGCCATGGATCACACTTTTAAACAAAGGATTTTGTGTGAGACTGCTAAAATTCTAAAGAGAAAAACATGAGCATACTGATTCAACTAACAATACCTCTTTTTTGACAAATTTTAATAAACCACTTCAGTTATATCTACTATGCTGATTGCATTACGTAAAGGTTTGGTTGAACTGCATACCCTATTTACTAAAGTTGACAATGCTGCATGTCTCTACTGTAATGACCCTTTTCTGTTACTTCTTGTCTAACTGTCACTTAATATTTTGTATCAAAGTTTGTCAAGGTGTAATAAGGTGTTGTAGCTGTTTACTCCAGAAAAAACAATTGGTGACATGAAAATGCAAACAAGTCACATGATCATGCAAAAAGAAGACTAATCCCTTTTCCATGTTGACATTGAACTGAACAAACGGAAATGGATAAAGTTACTAAGAAATATATCAGAAGCATAAAACTTTTCCAGTTAAAACATATAGCTAAACACTAGAGTAGACTCTCTGAGGAGAATAGTGAATATCAGATTTTTAAAACAGTAAATACTTTTCATCCTTGTTTATATGGACCACTTAAAGTCCTTGCATTTGATTATGTCAATAGAATGATCTAAATATGTGATATTTATAAAATTTCCACCTTCGGTAGGAGAGGGCCTACAAACCACTGAACTCCTAGATAAATGTCTGTTTGAATAAATTTATGTACAACCACTCTTACCCTGTGGTGGAAGGAAGAGTGAATCCCTGAGATTCAGGGATGCTCTATTTGATGATTCTGTTTTGCAGCTGCCATCTCCTAAAGTTACCCAATAATGCTTTTCAATTTGCTATCTACTTTCCCCAAACTCAGTTTTCATCACCCCACCATCATCATTCATTTCCAGCTACAACTACTCCTCCATCTCAGTGTCTTTTGTTATGCTTCTATTCTGTTGATACTGTTGTCCAACTTTTTAAATTCTCCCTCATCTAATTGAACTCTTTGAAATAATACATACAATGACTAAAGATAAGAATTTTCTCCACCTATCATACTTGACTCCAAATTAAAATTATTTTTCTTTTGTTCATCATCAAAGAACTGAGCTCTAATTTTCTGCTTAATATGTATAACAGACTCTTACAGATGATTTTGAATATATATTCCACATGTTTCTTTCTTGTTTACATACTATAACTTAAAAAAAAGAATGTTGTCCTATGAAATTTAGTCTAAATTCAACTACTCTATCTGAAAATGACTAAAGTATCAGATAAACGGGAATGTTAAAATACTTCCAGATTATTCATCTGACCGTCTTTTCTGGAATTCTCTCCTGTGATACTTTGATGAAAAATATCTGGCTACTATCCAGTCTTTACTGCATGGTAATAAACTTGAACCTAGAGGTATATTATTGGACTTCAACAACAGTGACTAATGTAAATGAGCAATGGAAGCCACAAGTATTGCAAAGTTGTAGAAATCTGACATTATATTACTGGATCAGCTTATTTGATCAGGTTTTTTAGTGTCGTGATCCAAATCTATTACTAAAAAACTATTCATCTTGTATTAATAGCAGTACTAATATAGTAATTACACCAGGTAGGATATATTGTTTCCTATTTCAAATGAGGGTGTAACATGAACCATGCACATTCCTTCAAAAAAATCAACATAAAACTAGAAGATATATTAGTCCCCAAACAAGGTTTCATAATTTCAGATTCTATCTCTCATTATCTACCCATCAGCATAACAGTTCTTTTAAGCACCTTAGTCAATTAAAACCTAAGATACAGTTAGGGTGCCAAAGGTCAAGCAACCCAACTACTCCCAATCCAAACTACGAGACATCTAGTATGTACTTGTAAACTATCCCAAGGAAGTCTGTATTTGTATATATGTTACACTTTATTGGGACTAATGGACAGGCAAGTTGAAGTGAAAAAGCCTTTCAACTACCCAGAGTAACCATTTAAGATCTTTGACTATATCCTGATCATCACAGTATATCTGTTTAAATTCCTCTGCCTCAAACCAACTGTAGGGATAATCCAGGTCACGTTCATTCCCAGCATACATTAACATTTATGAGAATTCCTTCTACCAGTTTCCCTTTTTTTTAACCTAGACTCCTGAAGAGTCTTTATTGCACATACCTGTTTCAAGTGAAACACATGTACACAGTTTTTCTACCCATAAGCTCCTCTGCTGTGGCTTAATTTGCACATGCATGTAACTGCAACTAGTAAATTTTTCTTCTTAGAAATGTTCATATCACAGCAGTTCCAGTTGTGGGACCTGATTATTTGCCACCACTGTGTTAAGTGCAAATTACCATATTCTTAAGGCAAAGTGCTGATTCCATGAAAGACTCACTGAATAGTCATATTTACTTTCCGAAAGAATAGAAGAAGTTGAAATAAACAAAGAAGAAATTAAGAAAATACTTGAATGTTTCAGACAAGAAAATTAGCTTGGAGTCTAGTGACAGTTTCACTCAGATTTTCTAAATTGGAAAAGCAAGGCCCTTTTTAGACAGATTAATGACACTATGCCTTTCTTTTTTAGCAGTAACTTTATCTCCATTAACAAATGGAATAAGGAATTGCCTACAGCTGTAGCAGTTGCTCAAATCAATTATCACAAGCCTGATATAAAAGTACTTTACATCAGTGTAAGAAGAGGATTATAATTATGTTAAAAATGAATATATATTGGCCCTTTTTTCTAACACTATCTCAAAACCACTGTAGGTTGTAGATGAAAAAAAGCTTCTTCACCCAAAGAGTGGCTGGGCACTGGAACAGGCTGCCCAGGGAAGTGGTCACAGCACCAAGCCTGACAGAGTTCAAGAAGCATTTGGATGATACTCTAAGGCACATCGTGTGACTCTTGGGGATGGTCCTGTGCAGGGCTAAGAGCTAGACTCAGTGATCCTTGTGTCCCCTCCAACTCAGCATGTTCTGTGCAATTCTGTGTTTGTGATCCATCACCTTTTTATCTTGGCTGCTGTGCACAGGAGAATGGGCACGTAGCTAATCTTACACACTGAGCTACTGGAAAGTCAAAAGGACTGGTATAATAATCTGTTTTGTACTGATATCAGAAATCCATGTTGCTGTGTAGATGTGTCTGATCAGTTTTACAGTATTAAAAGAATTTTCCTTCATTGTAAGAAAAAAAACCAGACCAGCGCAACTGTCATTAAGTGGACTACAGGAATATTATAAAAAAATAAAAATCCTAAGTAATCCATATTCTTAGGGCAGTATAGCATCACCATGTGGGTGGTATAACGAGACTTGCAGAAATTACTTCTCCTTTTTAGTGCTTTCAAGAAACATATTGCACGCTTTCAGTTACCTGCTTAAAAATATACACTAAGAGCATATTTTCACTTTATATATATCTGTTTTCTATCACCATTTTTCAAACATCATAACATTTTATATTAAAGGCCCTCAAAGTTAAATGTATGAGATAAATAAGACTTATTCATCAACCTGAATATTAATTAGAAATCTGTAAATAAATTTTGACACCAAAAAGCTCACAAAGCGTAACGTCTGAACACATGCACATGAACATTTGCACTGATCAACAGCACAACAAAATTGTGTTCAGACATGTTTCAAGTCACTTCCCAAAGTGCTGTTTCACCATTTTATAGGGAAAAAAAACAGATTAGCATTTAAACTATACCTTATAATGTGCTGATGAAAGGTTCATTTGAATACATTTAAGAATATAGGAATAACAGATTGCTTAGGATGGTCACAATGTCATTCGTAGAAGAAATTTCAAGCACTGTTACAATTTTTCATACGGAATTTCATTGTGTGTTTTCGATACATTTAAAATTATTTTGCAGGCTATTTAACATCATTAAAAACAAACAAACAAACAAATCCCACCACCCTGTTGCACTTAAAATTCTTCCCAAATTCTGAATTTTAATAAATTATTACTTTTAGTCTTACCTCTTTTCACTGTCACCTGCTGCTGAAGTTGACAGCAGGGAAAGCTTTATCTTTCTGATACTACTGGCACCATTCAGCCATTGTCACAACAGGATAGTTAGTACACTCTTTCTTCCCCTCATCTTGACCACACTGAAATTGTGCATCTAGTCAACAAACTACTGTAATATCTGGAAATTTTAAATAAATATACCTGATACATATTATGTCCTATTCATTCTATAAAAGCTTAAGTTATTGCTAAGCATAATTTACATTTGCTCAAAATTTCTAATTTTATGTTATTTTTTTAAATTGCGTTTCATGCACTTAATGCTCTAGACTGCATTCAGTGTATACACCATTATGGTAAGCATATTGGCATGCACAGGCAATACAAGAATAGATTATAATTAATCCCATAGACAACCAAAAAAGGTGAAGTTGCATCATGCAATGAAACCACAGCTTGGCCTGGGCTGCCATGCAGAAAAAAACCTACATCAATGAGTCTGCTGTACGGCTCCTAGGTAAGAGTTGATATGAAAGAGGTGAGTTATTTCAGCAATGAAGTCACAGGCTGAAAATGTTTATACTACTGTAAACAAAATACTGTACATAGCACCAGTATTACTCAGGGATGGGGAAGAAGATGCTTGTAAAGGAGGACAAAAAGGATGAGAAAGAGAAGAAGGGGAGGAGTAATTACAAATTACAGTAATAAGTCTGAAATCCAATCGGTTCTTTTAAATAAGCAGTTTGTTATTTCATTCATATAATTTTACTTGAGCTTTCAAAGCAAACCTGAGTTTTCAATGTATTTGGGGGAAAACCAAACAAAAAACAGAACAAAAAAAAGAGGATGAAATAATGCGATACAGAGCAATTTCAAAATGTCAGAAGTGTTTAATAACTGATGAATAACTGAAAGTTCATAAACACACAGATATGTTGAGGTGAATTATTCAATGCAGTGCACAGGACCTCAATCACACAAGTTTCACTGATTTGAATGCATAATCAACCAAAGTAAAAGAAGATGGATAATATAAGGGATGCATTGATATGAGTGATTTATTCAGTCACCTTCTGCTGCTTTTCTAGTAAAAGACATCTCTGCTGAATAAAGCAGGGTTTTTTTCAGAACTTGTGGTGATTGTGAATTGCCTTTACCTTACTCACCTTCATAGTTGCACTGAACATAACAATGAGACCTGAATTATAGGGTGACCACCTAGCCTATTTAAAGGATGTAGACTAGGTCCCATAGCTTGATTCCAGAGAGTTCAGAAAGACATAGTTGACCAGGTAATTTATTTTAATGCAACACTCACATAAGAAATTATACCTTGAGATGATAAAAGTATGATTTTGTAACATTATAATATTTTATTATCTGTGTTCCATTCCAACAGGATTTTTTCTATGTTTCTGAATAAGTATGCATTTTTCAAGTAATTTTTCTTAATTACCCTTAATTGTACATGATCACTATAGTTTTAGCACAGTTCTCAAATATATCAACTAATTATGTGGGGAGCAATTCACAGAACACCAAAAAATAGCTTTAATGAGAAAATAAATTTCACTTACTGTATAGCATTTTTAGCAGAATTTGTTTCCAGTTGCAGAACAATTGTTTTTGGTATCTTTGTTTTTATACACTAATACCTTTTTGAAATATTAATCTTTTAATTTAGTAAATTGCCACAGAAATTTAGATCAAACTATAATCAGCTTAATTGACAGTAGACATCATTTTCTGGCCTCTTGAAATTTCTCAGATTTGCAGAAAAACCTGTCAGCATCTTGACAGGTAAAAAAAATTTAAAAATTGCACACTCCAGATAAAAAACCCCTCCTCTTACATTGTGAAATACATATTCTTTTTCCATCCAACACTTCCAACCTTTTCATAGGGACACAACTTGCAGTCATGACTCATACCACTTCTGGCCACTATGTGCTATTTAACAAGGCTAGTAGAATGTTTCATTAATTATATATTAAAGATGTGAATATTTTCTTGGATGTACAGGTATACTTACAAACTGCTGCACAGTGCATGCAAATGTTATCACCTATAAAAAAGGTTATTGGGTCAAGACAGATTAAAGCACTGCTGACAAAGCCAGAAACCCAGTAAATTGTTTAAGGCAAGCAGATGACAAGGCCAAAAATTTAGAAAGTCAACTTGCAGACTTCCAAAGTGTACCATTCAAAAAGGTACTGTACAACTATTAACTGGAATTATGGCATACTCAGTATGTGCTATAACATATATGCATGTATCACAAGACAAATTATACATATTACGTATGTATACTTTCCCACTGTTGTGGAAATAAAACAATCTATCTTATCTTACTTGACAGACATTGATTTAGCAAAAGACGAAAAGCAGTCCTTACGTTTATTCTTACTAAAAAACATACACGAGTAATTTTTCATCTAGTTATGATAGACAGGTCCTCAAGATTCAGAAAGGACACAAAGTTGGTCTTAGTTCTACAATCTCGTCACTCTCAATATGAAGATAACAATGTAAAAACAAACTCAGAAGAATCATATCCTTTGGTATCTGCTACTAATGGAGCAGAGCATGAGAGAAACTACTAATATAAGGATCTCTAAATATCAGGTTAAATTACAGCTTACCATACCTCTACACAAAGCTTATTTACACAGTTTATTGTCCTGCAAACAGTGATTTTTTTGCGATAAAACCAGCTAGTCTTCAGAGATACAACTATTAGATTCAAGAAGAGATTTAGCCTTCTGTTTTCAGGCCATTGCTAAAAATCAATCTCATGTTAGAAAAGTTTCCCTGCTCCAGCTGGAGAGAAGCTATCAAAGTCATTCATTTCCTAACGATCTAAAATGGCAGAAATTTTTCCCTTTTGGTGTAGCCAAAAGCCATAACAAACTTTACATAGTTCATGCAAGTCTGTTGCAAATTATGAATTCTAATCACTATGAAGAATTCTGTGCTGTTGGAACTAAAGGACCAGAGCTATGAAATTTAACTAAATTTCTGGGATATTTTGCCCTGGAGTTAATTCTTTCCAATCCTTGCATATGAAATTCCTTTTAATAAATCAACTATTCAAAAAGTTTAGTCTGGCAAAACAGGGCATCCAGTTCTAACTTTCTGTTTCTTCTTAGGTATACTGTGATACTAAGCAAAGAAATCAGATGGGTCAAACTGCATTGTAAATATTTCTGCTGCTATAGCCCATGGATTTCAGCTAGATGATTCACATACAGAGTTAAACACACTGGATGGAGCCTTCTGTAAACAGTGACCAAAAATACTATAAAAATCTTCAACTGGCAGGAACGTTATAAAATTAATTGATTCAACCCACTCACTGAAGAAAGCTCAATTGTATTCAGACCTCATTTGTCTAACCTGTTCTGAATACTTGCATGAACAGAGATTTCAAATCACTAGGTGTCAATCCTTCACTGGTCTTACAAGCAGAGAAAAGCCTAATCATTCTAGTATCAATAATTAATAACAAACTCTAAACTTTATTCTTCTTACTGCTTGTCTATATGGAAGAAAATGTTTATGGCAACAAGAGTTTTTTCCTCTGGATTCAGCAGGAACCTTCTAACACGTTAATATTCTTGTCTTTCATTTAATTTCAGTACATACAAGCTTCCAGAATCTAAAGAGAACACTGTATTAGCAAGCTGTTATTTTTTGCTCAAGTTTCTTAAATTAAACACAATTAAACATTCGCCCCTATTTTCCTAAACCTATGAAGAACAAAGACACTGCAGTTAAAGTTCACTGCATTTAAAATTATAGATTTGTATCTAAGAGATTGATATTTACTAGGTAAGGTGGTACATATTGATTCAGAAGGAATTTGACAAAAGACATCCCTAGTTTAATTAAAAGTATAAATCATTCTGAAAAGCAGTCAAGAGACAATTTAATTGACTTTTCACCAGTATTCACTGAAAATTAGCTTACTTATAAAATGATGTGAGAAAAAAAATTGCAGACTGTGGACAATCTATTTTTCCCTATGGTGGCAGCACTTAAGCTTGACAATTAAAATAAAGATTTGCAACAATGGTGCAATAAGCATCCTGTACACTTAACATAAATAAACATCCATCAACAACTTTTATTGCATTTTCATCACATCATGTGGTATAATATAAAGAAAATTAATGTTGAACGTCTTTGTCACTTAAGTTTTTGCTTTGAAAAACAAGTAGCCAACAAAGGAGGTCACTATCTGTCTGTCATCTCTATATTCCATAAGACAGAGGGGATGTATAGCTTTCAATTAGAATCTCTCAAGTCATTCTGTTTAGTGAAAAGCTAAAATTATTTTTAAATTATTAAAATAATTTAAGACAGCAGGGTGAGATGCTTATTCAAAATATGAAAATCCAATTTTTATTCTGATATTCTACATTATCAGAAAAAAATTGCATTTTCTAGAATTTTGTATCTACCCATGTATGCTATAGAATTTTATATATATATATATATTCTATATTTATAATGCAGTTCTGAGGCTTTGCAAATCAAAATATTAAAATATGGAAATAATTTATCCTTTAACTACACAGGAACTAGTACTTAACACTAGACCCAGATGAATTAGTTACAATTAAATACACCAGATTAAAGATGGGGGAAAAAAAAGAAACATTAAAAACATGCAGATATGAACTTACAGATGTAGAGATTTCACTCAACAGATAATACATTAAAAAGACTAATGAGAACAACCTAATCTCTGCCTCTCCAGATAGAAAAACTATGGTAAACATGACAAAATTGAAAAGAAAACAACTGTAAAAACAAAGGGGTTGATTGAAATGGAAATGCATTAATTTGAAGTTTGAACTTTGAAGTAGAATGTACACTGAAAAAAATAATTGGAAAAAAAATTAGACTAAAGCTACCTAAAAAGCTTTGATGACATGTGTTTAATGCAATAAGTATTACATTATAAAAACATCAAGCCAGATAAGTAAATAAAAGTGATATGAGAAACAGTCTGCAAAGCTGTATGCTAACATATCTGTTACTGTTTGTTTGATTCCTTTAAGTCTTTGGACTTGGTTTCACTTGACCAGGTAAATAAGTTTAACACTTCTGAATTACTTGACTGAAGATGGCCATAAGCAACTCACTGAAACAACAGGGTGACTTGATTCATATCCATGAACCTGTGGTGATTTGAACATTTACACTGCCATTGCATTTCAGGTACAAAATGAAATGCATTAAAGTTTCCAATTTTCCCTAGGTAGCAAAGCTTATTCAACTCACATCAGGCATTTGTGCTCATGACAGAATGCTGGTCTAGAGAAAAAGCTTTCTTTCCCATAAACTAAGAGTGCCTTGAGACATTGTGCTAAAAGAGTTCTCGGTGCATATACATAGTCATCCTTTCACAGACAAGGGTAGAATAACACCACTGTCCTTTCACTTCTTTCCCCACTTTCAGCAAGCCCATTACTTTTCCTTTCTAGAATTCATTCACTTCCCAG